TTGGCGAAATTCTGTTGCTTTATACTTGGAATACATATTAAGTGGTCTAAGATGTCTCACAAAATCCGAAAGACAATATTTTCTAAGAGTGTTTAATCTTGCAGATATTAATGAAATAGATGCACCTGATAATTTTGACAATCGAGAATATTTACCAGATATCCATGCAGACAAAGTTTTTTCATCATTCCCAAACAAACAAGGTGCATGTATTCAAATGGGATTTGCGAAACCATACCTAATGGAAGATTTGATAATGGACTGCTTCCCTCTTTGTGATGCTCTTCGTCAGAACATCTAATATATTCATCATCTGTACGAAGACGATGATTGACACCATTGAAAACATACCGACCTCTAATTCGTGTGATTAACGTCGTATACGTACGGACGTTTCTCGTACATTTTCTTCTTCGCGTTGCTCGTCGCGTCGTTGAAGAACGATTCCTCGTCACCGTCGTCGTCAACGACGTTCTTTCCACGAGACGGTATTAACGATGAATACAACAACACGTTCATTGCATCCACGGATCGCAGAAGATTGAAGTATTCGTCTATGTTATCCACACACATCTGCGCGTAATCGTGAATATCGTAATCTACTCTCTCGTTGAATCTAAAATAACTAGGAGGTGAAAAATCGTCGTAGCCCTGATAGCCAAGCATGTTTTGCAAAATCATGCAATTTGATGCTGAGCACGAGTTTTTGACTAGTTGCTGTGTATTTGCTGAAAATGTAATGCATATTCATACACATTCAACAACACGAGGGCAGATTTGAGACATTTCATGTCATCAAATTCAGAGCAAACGGACAGCAACTGTTGCTCATTATGTTGTTAACCAAATGACTTCCATTTATGGAAAACTTTTTGCTTTGTCATTCGTTTTCGGCAACGTAGGAGCAACATGATGATAACAGAAAAAGACACCGATGTTTGTGCTTCTGTCGTATATTTGTTATAAACTGTTGAAATATATTAGGCTTGTTCGTTTTAGCTGCACTGGAGTTGCTCTGGGCTTGCTCTACATAGAATAATACAGGACAGATAAATAGTGTCGAGTAAATCCAGAGCAGCCCCAGTGCAATTAAAATAAAC